CTGTAGACCAGACTCATTTCACACACCCCATCCCACTCCACTCCACTCCACTCCACTAGATGGGACACAACACCACACCCAGAAGGTGTGTATGTTACACAGGCTTGTTAAGGTCTCCCTTCAGTAGCACCCTTTCATTACTTGCATTCTAAAACTAATAAATAAAAGTAACAGTTTAAATCCTTGGAAAAGCCACAGGCTAGCGAGGTGGAGCTTGCTGGCTAATGGGGAAAAAATCACAAATAATTATCTGTTGAAAAAATTGCCAAAGTCTGTAATTAATTTGAAGTGATTTTATTCAACTAACTCTGATAGAAAAAGAGAAAATGATAGATGATGATGTTAATCCAACTCAGTGCAAGTTATGCTGTCATGACAAGTCTCTTGATCAGCTGCAAACACCCTATCTGTTTTCCAAGCACTGTTTGTCGGACAGGACATTGTTAGGTATTATTTTTCTCTCCCTGACGTTGATGTAAATTGGGTGTAATTCCCTTGGTTTTGTGGAGATACACTGGTGTGAAATTGTTGAGAGGAGAATCAGGCCCAATATTTGCAAGGGAAGGTTAAGTGCAAGCTCGTATTGAAGGGAGAGAAGGTTGGCCCCACACCACAAATAAATGACCACAGTGGATTTTCTTCAGAGACATAAGCTTGGGCAAACCTGAATTTATGTTGCCATGTGTTTGCAGATAATTCCTCTAGATTTGTCAGTGAAAGTCTACGTATCAGTTCCAAAGAGATTCTGGTTTGACTTGGAAGAGTGGAAGAATATTGCCATGGTATTTAGCGATCTCTATTGTGATGCTCTCAATTGTGAAATATATGCATGTAAATCCAGGAATGGATAGATGCAACTTCTCTGTATTGGACACATCCTATCAACCTTGCTGCCACATTTCTTCCTGCAGAGTTGAATCAGAAACTCAGAAAACCCCAATTTCTAACCAGTGCATATTTACAAGGTCTATATAATGTTTTCAGGCTTTACTAAACCATTTAATTATATACTGCGCATTAGTGTTTCCCAGGTATTCGATACATATGAATGGGACAGTGCCAATCCCTTCCCCTCACCCACATCGCTTCACGGCTAGTGTGTGTATATGTTTAATATTAAATGTCTTGTGTTTTTCATCGTAACCGTCACTTAGACTGGTTACATGCATGTGAAATCTGAAATATTTAAAGGGCTTCTGGTTCCCATTCTATCTTAGATTCTTCTGTGTTCCTCATTACCACAGTATCGGACTATCTTTATTGTATCTCCTCATAATGCACCCCTGACGTACTATGGTGATATGCTCATTCTGTAGATGGGGAACTGAGGCACAGAGTGACAAGTGACTTGCCCAAGGTCTCACAGGAAGTGGAGCTGGGAATTGAGCTTGGGTCTCCCGAGTCTAAGGCTAGCACTGTAAACATTGTGTCATCCTTCCTGTCCACTCAAGCAGGATCTCACACTGATCTTGGAAAATAATGATGTAGTATGTTTGGTCATTTCTTTAGCCACTTAAAACAAACACATATCCTATCGCTTTGTGAGACAGTTTTGAGATTCTTTTGGCCCAGGAGGCAATTAGAAAGCCGTATAACATTAGGGCTGTTTGTTGTATGTATCTGTATTATAGTAAGATTTAGCCAGGACATCAGAGCAGGATGCCTAATGCTTTTCCAGGGTGCCTAATGCTGATTTTTTTTTACTTCTGTGACTTTACCAGCTGGCTCTCCTGTGGCACTGGCCAGTTAAGAGGTGGCAGATGTCATAATCTAGTTCCAAACCCACCTTTCTGATGTTCTCTACATGTAGTGGAGGGAGCGCTGAAGAGTGATAAAATATTGCGTCTTCTCTTTCTTCTCTCTGCTAAGGTCCACGGATCCATTACAATGGATATTTCAGTCTGCTTGCAGCTGGGGGACAGAACCAGATCTCTGGTGTCAGTTACTGGCAGCACCGTAATGCCCTGCCCCCAGAAGTTCCCTGCTGTTGTCTCTGCCTCCCTGGCGGCTGCCCCAGCCCTCCCTGCTGCAGAACTTTACAAAGAGAAAGGCCAACCTTTTATTTCAAATGACCAACAGTTTGTCTGTTGTGTCTGATTCCCAGCCAAATCCCAGGTTGTTCCCCTCGGCTCCACTTCCCCGATTGAAGTATTTGCAGCAGCTGAGGCCCTGTCAGCTTCTGAGAGAGTTCCTCAGAGCCAGACCAAGAAAATCCAAAGGAAACAGGTGGACATTGGCACCCAGAGATGTGGTGGTGTCTCACTAAAGGGAATGTCCCATCCCCTACAGCAGGATAAATCATTGTGCTTTTTCCTCACAGTCTAGTTAACACAATCTGTAATTCAGGGAAGTAGAACTAAATTAATCAGGTGGTGGGGGCTGTCTCAAATGGTGGGCACTACTGGGGTGTGGGGAATTCCCTTTCTGCCAGAGACTGACAGGTCTTGTTCTGCCCGCAAGCCTCAAGTAGGCCAAAGTACCCATGGCAGTGGAGCTGTGGACCTTAATACGTTGCTTTCTCAGTGCTGGAAAGTGAAAATGGTCCTATAATCATCAAGTTAGCACAGTGTCACTGGTGGGAATGTCCAGACAGGTCTCCGTGCACCAAGAGCACTATGCACTTAAAGCAGGAGCACTGCACTCCCTAAAATGGCCTCACTGTTGACATTTACTTACTTGGCCTACTTTCTGCCCTTTCAGATAAATCGCGAAAGCTGGTGTTCAATAGAGCCATGTTCAGATCCTTCACTGCTGGAGCCGACGCAAACTCATGAATCTAGAGGTAAGTAGAATGCTGTGCTCCCAATCCCTTCGTTCAAGGAGGTGACGAACCAGTCTTTCCTTACAATTAACCTTCTACCATGGAATTATCCTTCTTTCCTTCCCTTTCTCTCTCTCCTCTTTCCCTTCCCCATAAAATGAAAACATGCACAAATGGGAGAAAATGGCACATGTAATTATTAGTCCATTGTTCCAGTGCTTATATGACTGGTACTGAGACATCCAGCTACATAGCCCATCTTCTCATGATGCAATTCTGTGTTAAAGTATTTTATTCGCTCATTTGATTCATAAATAAAATTTAGAAGTGCATGGGTGTATAGATTATTGCCAAGACTTTGAAAATGGGTGCCCCAAATTAAATTCCTAAATCCATATTGAGACACCTAAATCAGTAGCCGGATCTTTCAAAAGTACGGAGCACCCAGCAGCCTCCGTTGGTTCCCAGGATTCAGGGAAAAGAAAGGTGGTTCAGACCCATCTTTCCCACCCCCACCCCAGAGCTGTGCTGAGCTTATGGTCATTTATGCTGTTTAATATTTGCCCTTCCTTCCACATGGATGGAAAAAACTAGCCTGGCCTGTTTCAGGGTGCCTTGATATCCCAGATAAGAGGGAATATTTCCTGTCTTCTAATAGTTGTGTTTAAAACAGCATAAGTTGGAGTAGTTTATCTGCTTCCTTAATGGTGGCTTTGAACTGGGCTTTTCTTACAGCGGCCATTTCTTGCTTTGTTTTCATTAAAGAAATTACACTTGAGGGGTTGAGATGTGGAGAAGGAGGGGTATTAACTTGTTTTCAGTGATGAGTTGGAAGATAAGGGTTAACTCTCCTGAGTGTACATTATTGGCTAACAGCAACACTCTGGTTAGTGTCAGGGCTGCCCAAAGGGGGGGGCAAGTGGGGCAATTTGCCCCAGGCCCTGCAGGGGCCCCCACGAGAATATAGTATTCTATAGTATTGCACTTTTTTTTTATATATATATAGAAAGGTCCCCCAAAATTGCTTTGCCCCGGGCCCCCTGAATCCTCAGGGCAGCCTTGGTTAGTGCATTAACATTCTGCCTCTGTTTCCTGCTGAATAATGCACCTAGACGTGCACTGTCGTGTCCTGATCAGATCCTGGAGTGAAGTAGCGAGCTGTCTGGTTGATTCTGGGCATGCTGACCAAGCAACATGTTGAGTGAAGTATCCATTGCAAATGAGTATTATACGTAGGTCGGAAGATTTGTCACGGCATTTCTTTTTATCAAAAATTACAGAGCAATCATGATGAATCTAGTAAAAGTCATGGATTTAGTGACTGCTCCATGATTTTTATTTTTTTTTATTTATTTTTTTTAAACAAAGCCCTGACAAATGAACCACTCCAGCACTGCAACCCTGTTTCGGTCCAGGTGAGGAGGGGAGGTGGAGAGGGAGCTAGAGAGCAAGCCAACCCCAAACTCACTGCGGGCAGTGGTGGCTCCTGTGTCCCAGGGCTGGGCTTTGGGGTTGAGAGCGAGTCCATCCTACGCTTACTCTGGGCAGCGGTGGCTCCTGTGGGATTGGGCCCAGTTCCTCGCTGTGGGTGTTGCAATTTGGCTCATGGAGTCACAGAGCCGCTGAGGTTTGGCCCAGCCACCCTTCTGTCATGACCCACTTAGAGCCTTCCTGCATGGAAGTCACAGCCAAACAGAGAAGTCAAAGTATCCGTGACTTGTTCAGCAAAGTGACAAATCTGCAGCCCTAACTGCAGTTTCGTGAGGTGGCAATGTAACTGTCCTGATGAATTAACACAACAGTCCAGTGTCTGCCCAAGCTCATGCAGTGCTTCATATGGGACTTCATCATCTGCTTCAAAAATCTGAGCTGTTTCTGAAGTGAAATTAGATAATCTAGTTTTTTCATTGAGGATACAGCCTTGAGTCTTGCTCTCTATGCAAGACACACACAAAAAAAGACTTGTACAGTGGCCCCAAATGTGAAGTTCAGATCTGACTTTGGCCAAAGTGCTGTTAAGAGGGGGTGATGTGAGTAGTTAAGTGAAATGGGGTCTACCTAGGTTCTGCTTCTGGCCCCTTGTAATCAGGCACGGATTCACCCCTGCGGCGCCTCCTGCTGGTCGTCTCGGGAATTAGCTCACCAGTCGTCAGAGCACCTTCTGCAGGCCAGGTATCTAGCCCAGGGGTCGGCAACGTTCATCATGTGGCTCGCCAGGGT